TCTGAGCCTTAATAAGGCGGCACCTTTTTCCTTTTACCCCAGCTGTGAGCTCGGTTGTCAGACTGCAGCTTCTGCTTCTGGCCTTTCTGCAGGTTCTGCTGCTTCTTTTGGCATTGGGCCGTGCTCTGCAGTTTGTCTTGTTTCTTTTTTTTCCCAGAAGTTTGTATGCTGGGGGAGGGGAAGAGCACAGCATGAAAGGGCCCACTTTTGTGTAGAAATGTTAAGAAGCATTAGGTTTTCTGCAAGTTTTCTGAAATACCTTTGCTTTTGCCAGTAGATGTCACTGTGGATGAAAAATGCCAGTGCTTAGTAGACAAAGGAGGTAATTTGCTAAATGAAAATTCATCCTTTGAAAGTAGATTGGGGGGCAACATTTTTTTTTGTTTTTTTTCCTTCTGAAAACAACAACAAAAAGACCTTTTGAATCAGGTAAAAATGGATTTCTCACCAGTCGGACGCCCGTTTCTGCCCAGCACCATTCAGTGCTTTCTGTTTGCCTCCCCCCCAGTTGGGTAAGTTGTGCCTTTCTGTCTGACTTGAGCAGGGCTGCCTGCTCTGCTGCTCGACGCTGTGCTCCGTGCATCTCTGTCTGGGTGCTGCTCCAAGAAGCAGCAGAGCTCACAGCAGCGGCTGTGTGCAGGGAATGGGGCATGGAGGAAGTGGCTTCATTAAGGTTGATTTGGAGGGGGGAGCGAGATGAGGAAAAAAAAATTGCCCACATGATTGGCTGGGAGAATAGCTCTGAATTATGGGATCCATCTGTTTCCTGTAATGAATTCATAAACCCATCAAACAATGACCTGAACGAATTGCTGAAGGAAAAAAAAAAAATAATACGCTGGCATGATATGTTTAACGCAGTGAGGCATTGGCATTGTATAATCAAAAATTCTTCTCACATGCAGCACTTTGTAATGGAGCTGCTGTGTTTAATAGAAGCTGTAAATAAATCCTGTCACAGTAGCAGCCAAGAATGCATTTCTGGCTTAACCGTTTCTCTTCTGGAATGTCTGCTCCTGGAAGCCCTTAGAAATGCAAGTTTGATGGAGCTGGAGAGCGGGATTCAGAAATGCAGAGAGATGTTAATGAGGGGAATGAAAGGAAAAAGCTGCCGTAAATCAGTATTATGTGGCTTAACCAGTTTCTTTCATTTATGCATGTTCTTTTCTTATGTCACAGAAACGTACTTAAAAGCTATTGTTGTAATTGAAATCTGTTAGACTGATCCTATTCATTATATTAATAAAATCCACCTACAATTGCACATAACAATTTTTTATGCGGTCGGGATTCCCGAGATTGTAATCATCAGAAAGCATGCGGAGTAATTATTGGATTTGTTTGGGTAAAATTGGATTAAGAAGTTTAGATACCATTAAGTACTGATAATTATTACAAGCAAGCCCATTGTTTAGCGTATGTACAGCTCTCCGGCTGCAGAATGAGCAGATAGCCATCACAAACATGGGGACAGCAAGCGGTTCGGAGGCTTTCATTTGATGCCTTTCACTGTATTTTGGCAAGATTGTTTCTACAGCTCGGTCTTTTGGCTCTTTGACTGTGTGCTTCTAATGGGGGCGGGAAAAAAAAGTCACTTTGCTTTCACTCCTTTCTGCCATCTCCTCAAAATAACATTTTTAGCCTTCCGACCAACCCAGCCTTGCAGTTCCCAGCTTCCCAGCAGCTGCCCGTCACACCAGTGGTTGCAGTGCATTGCTGCCAGGTGAGCAGCAGAGGGGCGGCCCTGCAGGGTGCCGAGATGCCTGCATGCACAGCACTGTGTGCATGGGGCTGTGTTGGGTGCGGGGCAGCCCTCCTCAGCACAGCCTGCAGGAAGGGAGGTGTCTGTGTTTGTAGGGGAGCTCTCAGAGCAGCAAACGCCTCGTGGCAATTAATAATTAGTAAATCTGTATGGGTGCTTTGAGCAGTCGGTGTTTCTCAATGCATGTCGAATGGAAATTGCTGCTTAAACATTGCTGGAGAGATGGCTTATAAATACGCACAGAGTTTTTTGGAGGAGTACAGTCATTGCATTGTCTTTGTAACAGATACTCTTCATATATTATATCATGTGAACAGGCTGATCTGAAGCAGGAATATGGAACAGAGCCTTTTCTGCATTGTTGGTGCTTTATTTCCTGCTGCTGGGGTCATCCAGCAGTTCCTTTCCAGCGACCACCATTGTGTGCATGGGGTTCTTGCAGGGGTGCCTTCCAACTCACCAGGCTGACAGGGATTTTGGTGCATGGAGCAAAAGCACTTTGCTGAGCTGCTTAGAAAAGCCAGTGCCATTAACAGGCAGGGATGTCGTTCTGTAGCGTAGGGCTTGCTTGGTACTTGGATTGTCTTTGTTCTCTCATCTCCATTCAGATATTGAGAGGGAAACATTGTGAGGCTGAAACTGGGTTTCTCTGGCCACACCTCTGTGGTGAAACAACTTCAGTTCATGTTAAAACAAAAATTGGCACGTCTTCTGTGGCTTGGATTGGAGATGTGTTTTATATATGCGGCTATTTGGAGTTATCAGCTGGCATTTCTCCCTATGGCACTAAGAATATAATACTTCATAAAAACCAGTCCTTCTCCATCTTCCAAATGCGTATCCAATTCATTAATATCCCTTAAGAAAATCCACGGCCAGGCGAATTCGGGCTCTGCTGTTGGCGTTGTGTCACGTAATGGTTTTAATTCCGCTGACTAAAGGGCAGAGCAGGCACCGCTCTCCCACCTTTGCCGTGGGGCTGTTTTCTCCCCAGCATCCTGGGAGCACACATTTGTCTTTCAGGAGGACTGAGCACGTGAGATTTCGGTGTTGGTAAACACTGATGTCTCAGAATACATAAACAAATAGCCCCCAGCTCTCATTTCTCTGTTTGCGTTCTCCATCTCCCAAATGAAACGGGGATGTTGCTTTGTTCACCGACATAAAAAGCAGTTCTCTATCAGTGATCCCTTTGATTCATCAAAGCAAGGCAAACAAAGCAGGAGCGGGCATTGGGGAAGCAGGGATTTGGGTCCTGAACCACACGCCAGCTTTGGTTCCTGGCACAGTTGTCTGAGGGCCGGCTGTGCTGGCAGGCAGTGATGCTTCATAGAGTTCATAGTGCCCATAGGTACTTCAGAGGGTTAATGTTTGCAACCTGGCAGCTCAAAGTGTAAAACCAAAGGGCAGTGGGTGCTGCAGAGGTGATGTGTTAAAGGAGCTCTGCTCCATCAGTACTTGTTGCATCTCTGCCCTTCTCCACCTGCTTTAACCCACCCAGAAATTTGTTACAGCAAGGAGTAAAAGGTTCCAGCACTGCAACAGGCAACGTGCCTTGCACAAGTAGAGAATAACCAGGATTTATCCTCGTTTTTAAAACTAAATGCTGTTTTAGTTCCAGTGGTGCTTATTGGACATTGTATGTTGCCCTGGTAGTAAAGTAGAGGTTAAAACTGTGGAAATGGAGTAGTTAAGACAGTATGTAGCATGTTTAGAGGTTTAAAGCTTAAAAGATTGCAGAAAAGCTTGCGTTAATCTTGTGCTGAAGTACCTACAGACAGCTGCATACATTTATTTCTCTGCAATGTAAACCTGGCTCACGAGTGCCTCATTTCAGCCTGCCCCCTGCACTGCTCAGCCTGTGGTTGCACCACGAGGAGTTGGCACTGCAAGTAACGATGGGAAAGAATTTGTCTTGGAGAAGTAGTGCTGACTGTTAGAAATAACATTCATGTTTGACACTTCTGAATCCATTTTGCAAACATAAGCTGAGCGTTGCTCAGTGTAGATGAGATGGCCTGCCTTTGGTCACTTGTGATACGTGGGGAAGCGATGCTGCAGGGTGCTTGTCCTTGTGCACAGTCACCTGCATTGGTGCACGTGTGCAGCTCGAATAAAGTGCTGAGATGTGGTTGGATTTGTCAGTATCAGGTTAGAAATGGGAAGTGTTGTTGCAGAGAAGCAGGTGTTGTGCTGCATAGCAGCACACAGGGGTGATGCTCCTGCTCCTCAGGGTGGTGCAGACCCTGATGGTCTTCTGTGAGACAGGATGAGGGAGGATCCTCCAGAAATAGAGCTGTTGTAGCATGGGAGTTGTGCTGCTTAGTCACTCTTTCTAATTAAAGGAAATAATTATGATCAGATTTTTAATCGTACCTTTTGAAAACATGCACCCCGCATCTTTAAGTATGATGACATATTTTGTACTTGCCATTATAATTCTTGAATAGAACAGATTGACGCATCAGTATAGTCACAGAGTATGTGCACATCTGTCTGAATCTACATGGAGTAAAGCAGAAGTAAAGAAAATTAATCCTGAAGATCAATCTTGGCTTTTACTACCTAGAATTCCCCCTGCTGTAGTGCACGCTTCTTTTCAATTCACGTTCTAAACTTCGCATTTCCCAGTGTGCTGCTGCTTCACCATCTCCATCCCTCTCAGCTTTAAAAAAAAGAGCCCTGTGAGCCCAGATCTCATTCAATAATTGATTTTCCTTACGTGGCTTGAGAGCAGCAGCAGCCTTTTCTATCATCCTCTTGTTTGTTGGGTTCCTATTTCCTCTTTTGGGGTAAGTACTGTTAGACACCTTAGAAATCACAGAATGCTTTGGGTTGGAAGGAGCCTCAAGGATCATGAATCTCCAACCCCTGCCACATGCAGGGCCACCAACCTCCACATTTAATGCTAGACCAGGCTGCCCAGGGCCCCATCCAGTCTGGCCTCAAACACCTCCACAGATGGGGCATCCACAGCCTCTCTGGGCAGCTGTTCCAGCACCTCACCGCTCACACAGGACAGAACTTCCCCCTGACATCCAACCTCAATCTTCCCTTTCTCAACTTCAAACCATTTCCCCTTGCCCTGCAGTTATCAACCCTTTCAAAGAGTTGATTCCCCTCCTGTTTGCAGGCTCCCTTTAAGTACTGAAGGGCTGCCATGAGGTCATCCCAAATCTTAGAAAAACTATTTTTCCCCGATGTTAAATGATGATATTATTATTATTTTCTTCCACAGTGCCAGAACCTATTAAGACCAGTTTAAGCCAGCCCCAACCTGCCGGTACCGGTACCAGTACTTCCACCAGCACTATCACCAACAGCAGCAATGGCAAGCGTGCATCTGCTAACGGGCAGCAGCCAGCCGCGTCCCGCTACCTGCCCCGCGAGGTGCCTCCACGCTTCCGCCAGCAAGAACAGAAGCAGCTCTTAAAGAGAGGGCAGCCGCTGCCCACCGGGACTCTGAGCAGCAGCCCGGCGCAAGGCACTGGGCCAGCAGGGGCGAGTCCTCCCCCACAGCCAGGGGCGGGAGGACAGCATCATCCCAGTAAGACCCAAGCAGGTAAGAGCCGAGAGCCGGGACCCGCCATCACTGTGACGTGGGAGCTGAAGGGTGCGCGATGTGTCTGAGAAGATCAGGGTTTGAAGTGAAGCGTGTGCTGATCCTCTTCTTTCTTTCGCAGTTACGAATGAATGTTCTCATCCCTCATACCCGGTTCTGTAGGTTTACTTTGGATGCTCAGACCTATGGGGTCTTTTTCCAGATTTGTTTTTGGTCCTTGTACTGGCTGTGTTCTCCACAACATGACAATATTTCTGGTGACCGACCCTCACAAGCACTGTTAATTTGGGTTTTTCCAAGCTTTTGAATATCCTCTTGGCAATTCTAATGATCTTTAAAGAGTTTTGCGTATGTAAATAAAAATTGGGAACTTTGCTTATGTGTTGTGCTGGGACACTTCGGTGCCTCTATATGCTTATGCTCTCAATGTTATTTTCATGTAGGGAGAGTAGCTTTTTGGGAAAGGTAGTTCAGTGTCCCAGGCCTTTTCTGCCACTTGGTTCTCTCCTCTGGCAGATGTCTCAACCTCCTTTTGGCCATTGACTGGAGCACTGTAAGCAAGGCTCTCAGCTGCCTTTCTCTTCTCTGCAGCTGCTGACAAGGAAACAAGAGGCACCTTCTGCTCAATTGTCCCTCTGTGCTGGGGACCAGGTAGCTGCCAGATGGAGAGGAGCTCTGTCAGAAGGTGGTACGGATTTGTCATCACTGCTGTGTGTGCAGTGTTAGGCAAAGCAGGAGCACTCTGAGCTGCAGTTGTCCATGGCATAGAGAAACTTAGCTGGACTAAGCCACAAGGAGGTTTTTGTTTTGTTTTGTGTTTTTTGTTTTTAGAATTGAATATTAGTAATTTCTGCATGATCTCGAGAGCTGCTCATTATCACTCACTAATGGTGTCAGACATCACAAAATTTTGATCTGAGCTGTCTGCAGTTTTCCCCTCTGGGCATTAGGGAATGTTTCACAAGTTTTGCTGCCTGTGATGCTGAACTCCAGCAGTGAAAATGATTCAGTATTGTCCTTAGAAGTTTTGGTCAGATAAAGAAATAATCTCTTTCAGAAATGCAGCTTTATGGATGCACTTGAAAATATGATTCCACTACTCCCTGGAAGCACAAACCAAAAACAAAACAACTGTGTATTTACATAAAGTGGTTGCAAATATTTAATTTTTAGAGTGAGGAAGAGGTTCTGTTCCTGAATGCTGGACTATTTGGCTTTAGTGACACAAAAGGTGGTCGGTTCCTACAACTTCCAGCAGCGTTCTCATCCTCTGTACAAGTCACATTCAGCAGGGAAGCTGGCAGGCGTTCATGGCTTCTGTTCGAAATGGAGATGTTTCCTAACTGCCACACTCATCTTCTGTGTTAGTTTGATATGTACCTGTTTGTTGTGTTTTTTGGAGGTGTAGCTGTTGATGCGGTGGAGACAGGGTGAGGAACCCGAGTGGCTCAGGCTGGCTGAGGATCAGTGCTGGCTCGGTGGTTCCGCTCCGAGCATCAGCAGAGATGTATCCCAAATTTCTTTCTTTGATCTTGAAGGAGCACACCACGTCTGACGGAACAAAGTCCACTCTAAATCACAACGTAATCCATGAAAGAACTTGCCTGGTAGGAGGGCAATGCTTGCTCTCTGCCTTTGATCTTGCCAGATGCATTTGCTCTGTGAGGTTTTAGACTTCTTTTCCTGGCTCCTATTTCAACTTGCTGTATAAAATGAACATTTAATTCTGCTGTTTCTCAGCCTGGCAACTGTCAGCAGATGTTTATACTGTTGAATTAGTTTGTTTTCTTGTGTTTCTGCTACTTCTGCGTCAACTTTTGGGTCAGTTCAGCAGTAACAAGTAGTACAAGGGGAGGAATGCAGTAGCATTTCTGCATCCTGTTATATTTCATATTGCACTAAATGTGTTCATTGACATCAAATTCTTTGCAGAAGTATGACTGGGAAACGCTGATCTGTTGTCAGCAGGCTGTGATGAGTGCACAGGGCAGAACTGTCAGGTTGTTTTCTATGTTAAGTCAAACCAAAAGCTTTACAGGGCACCGGAGAAGTTCTGCAGCAGTTCCTGGAGCAGGGAAGGAATTCTCACAAAAGCTACGTGCTTGGCTCACTTTTGTTTTGTTGGGTCTTTTTCCCTCTGCTGACAGCAGGGTTTCATGTTGTGAGATATAAATGGCTCCATCTTCCTCTCAGAAAACACTTGCTGAATTCAGAGCTCGTTTATGTCTCTTTCCAGCAGGTGGAGCATCAGTTCATCCACTGGGAGCAGTTACAGGAGGGAAAAATGCAGCTCAGTTCATAGCACCAGCAGCTGTGCACCTGGCTTCTTTGCAAGGCTGGGATAGGAGTAGTGTCTCATTCCCAAGAGACCTTTGTAGCCACGAAATTCTTTGCATCTTGACTGTCTTATTCAAACCTGGTCTGTCTGAATGGCTGCTTCTCCATGCTGAGATGAACACAAAGACAAAAGAAGTGAGGAGTATTCAGGGAAGGCCTAAACCTTTTCATTTCAGCTGTTAGGATTGGAAATATTTTAGGATTTGATATTGTGAAAAACTCCAGCTGTTAACTACGAGTTTTGCATGAAATTCAATTAAAACTGGCTCACATTTTTGTGAATATGAAAGTAAAGATTTTTTAAAGTGAGCATTCTTGAGTGCGTTTGTCAGCTGGAAGCTTTCCTGCATGTTTTGTTGTCACTGAGGACTGTGTTCCTTTGTCTGTCTGTGTAAATGAAACTGGGATGTTTCATTTACTGAAGGCTTTGGAAGTAAAAGTTTTCAGAGGAAGGGAAGGAACAACATAATGCAAGGTGCAGGTGAGCACAGATGTCTGATGCACTGGGAATGGGGATTTGGTCTACCTGAGTATCACCTGCATTGTAGCAGGGAGGGCGCTTCACAAGCGTTGCTGCTTCTCTGAGAGGCAGTCAGTGGAACATCCATTGCTGAGGGCCCTCAGAGCCTGATTGCCTGAGCAGAGCTGGTTAGACACGGGCTGGATTCAGTCCAAGCAAGTCTCTGTATGTGGCTTTTTTATGCTTACACTGAGCAGTAGTGGATATCTTTTGACGGATGACCTGGTATTAATCAGAGAGCCAGGACTGCTGTAAGCTAGCATCTTGTATCCAAAAGATGCTGAATATAAATTCATGCCTGTAGTTTTTATTTTTACAGCGTCGTATTCCTTCAGAGTTAACTTGAAATTATGCAACCACGTTCTTTCCAGGACCTATTTATAGCTATGGAGATACAGGGAAAGCTGTTAGAGAGGCACTGCCAGCCTCTTCTCTGTGAAAATTGCCCTATTTTATCTCTTTATTCTCTTATCATCAGTCTCTGTTATCTGCTGCCTTGGCCTATCCAAGACACTTATCAGAACTCTAACTGCAACGTCGTGAATTAAAAAGGATGTTCTGCCAATGTAAGGGAAGTGGAAATTAATGACCACTAATATATTCTTTGTCAGATTTATCATTTGGAAATATCAGTAAAGTGGATGAGAGTGCTGATTTTTTGTTTCCCTTTTAAGGTAATCTGTGAAACATTAACTAAGCAAACTGCTAGGAGAAGATACTGAAACATTTCAAATGACATAAAATATTTGAGATATCTTATCCTTTGAAACAGTCTTTAATTCATTGTTAACTATTATGAAACTGTGTTCGGTAAGAGCATTTTCTGTAGCGTAGTAATTCTTCCAGAACTTTTATCTGAAGCAACAAAGCCTGTTCTCCTCATACTGCTTCTGTAATCCTTTCCAAGATTACAGCAGGGAAAGCTATTGGTGCAATTTACGGGCAGTATTCTAATATCCGCTCTGCTATTTCTACTTAAAGGTGCTGCTGCTTTTTATCTCTTCCCTCCCCACTCGGGCAGCTAGCTCTGTATGTGCTGAGCAGCCATCTCCCTTGTGAAGGTACGAGCCATCACTGGAACGGCCCTTCTGCCATGTTACCTAATGAAGTTAAGGTAATTTCTGGAAGCTGTCACAGGAGAATGAAAACAACAAGTGATGCACCCTCCTTTGTTTCTTTGCAAGTGATGAAGTTTGTAAAGGAATCTCCAGGCATCCCCTGTGCATTTGATGGTGGTAAGAGCAAAGATCAAAAGAAGTAATCAGGTTCTCTTGAAGATGCCTTTCACTTTTCTGCAGTTCAGCAGCATTAGACCAACATCCATCTCCTCCAGAGAAAAATGCTGTGTCCTGCAGGAGTTGGGAGCTGCAGTGAAACTTCTGCACTGCTTTTGTGCTGGCAAGCAGAGGATTTGTGGAACTGATCCATAACATGTGTTTGCAGAGTCTTAAAAGAAATGAAAGCAAGTAATTCATAGAGCAGTCAAAATGAGATGCAACCCACAAGAAGCATTGTGAAAGCTGAAGAGTTGTGCTCTGTTGTTTTCTGGGAGGTGAGAATTTGAGAGCTGTTAATGTATTTTCCTAGCAGGATCTGATGCTGGATTCTACATTAAAGTTTTTTCTTCTTTTCTTTTTTCTCCTCTGAAGAGAGAAGACTTATTTCCTGTTCTAACATTTCTTTAGCTGCAGTTTGTGTATTCCTTCCTGTAGCACGGTGTGTGCATGTCCAGTAAGTACTGTGGGCAGCTGGGAGCTGCCAGATGCCGTCACGAGGCAGGGTAATTCTTCTTGTTGGCATGTTGGTGTTAGCTTTGCCTTTATGTAACTTTGAGGAAGCAGGAGGAAAGAACCAACTATTACTGTGCAGATCCAGGTCTGATGGATCCACTTCCATCCTGCCCTGATGTGACATCCTGTGCTTTAACTGTGGGTTGCTCCAGAATTCCTTCTAACAGCGATCATGTAAGGCAGTCACATGAAATTTGGAGAGGTGTTTTAGGGAAAGGTACCATCCTGCCTAAAAGCAGTCTGTGTAGCTGGGAAACACAGATAAGCTTTGGTATACAGCTGTATCATCAGATCAGGCAAAGCAATAGGGACCTTCAAACTAAGCATGAGTTTGAGCTCAGTTCAGCTTTTTG